CGACGACGACAACGGCGCGAGGCTTGCTTTCTTCTTAACTCTTTAAGAGCTACAAGAAGATCAATTATATATATACCCACCAAAAATCTTTTCCTCTTCCAATATGGGACAATGTCTCATTGTCAAGAGGGGGAAACTCAAAATTTTACTCAAAAATTTTATTTTTCCCCCCATTTCCCATTCACCCTCATTTTAAGACTATTTCATCTTAAATAAAAAACCTCAACAAGAATTTCGATTAAACAACATAATTTAATCCCTAGTGTGTAAATAATGTGGTTACTTGATTAATTACTTTCTGTAATCATGCAACTCTTTTATGTAGTAGTATACTGTAAAGTTTTGGCTTCTTTGAGTTTTGTAAGTTAAGATTGTTTTAAGTTCAAGTATGAAATGTGTAGTGCCTCATGTGAAAGTTTTTTTCATTTTCTATGGGAAAAATATGTTTAAATTTCAGTGCTTTTTCTACGTAGGATTCTGCAATAAAAACTCCGTTTAATGGCTGAAAGAATTTCTCTTTTTTTTTGGGGGGGGCGGGGGGGGNATTACACTTTGGTCCTTGTATGCTTTTAATTTCTTCCTATCAAGTCCAATGCCAGTTGGATGCGGATAAGCATAATCTTTCTTTTCATACTACCTCTGTTCGTGTGAACCTATTTCCTTTTTGGTTTGTTCCAAAAAAAATGACTCATTTCTAAATTTGGTAATAATTTAGCTTAAACTTACAATTCTACCCTTAATGAGAAGCTTTTATAACCACACAAATACTCTGAGGCCCTTTTTGACTTGTCTAGAACCACAAATTCCAAAAGTCTTCATTTTTTCTTAAACTTCGTGCCCAGTCAAACAAGTTCACATAAATTAGAACGGACGGAGTATTATTTAATTTAGTGCTCAATATATCAGTAGCTGTAAGGATCAGATTTTGGGGTTCGATGTAGGGAAATGGCTGTAACCTAATTTTCTCTTCTTCTTACTTAGCTCAAATTCCTTATTTAGCCTAGACGTTGCCTAAATCCTTGCTACTCTAGTTTTGATTACTCACCTGTGCTCAAGTGTAACAGATAAGCTATAATCATTAACACGTGTGCATGCTTAATTACTTTTTAGTGCGATGTATTAATTTTGAACTGTATACTATTTTGTAGGCACTCCTCGGGTGGGAGATATTATCCTTCTCATATATCAGTGAAGGGTAGGTTCTACTCTTAGGATGCGTAACATAGACATTACTCACTATGACTACTACTACACCCTAGTGACCGAGCTCATATAGTGGAGCAGAGGGTTATTTTGGCTTCGTCCAGATGGTACCATGTACCAACCGGATATTTTTTACTACCACTACGGAGAGGAGTATACTCCTTCCCGTGATCTGAGGAGGAGACTCCGTAGTGAGTCTTGGGGTGACTTTAGTAGGTTTGTTAGTCTTATCTATGTTCTGCAGCCGAGGAAACGTAGATAGGTAGTCTAGAGTCAGTAGGTCGTAGTAGTTTAGGTTTAGTTATTATTGTAAAGTGGAGGAGGAGTCCTCTCACTTAAGGTTACACTTCATGCATCATATGTATAGTTTAAATTGCATTCATAATAATGTAAAGAAGAGGAGTCCTCTTCTCATATAGGGCATGCATTTTGCATTACATGCTAGCTTAGCTGCATATGATAGGTAGGTTGCATATACTTTGTACAGAGTTGGGCTTGTCCAACTCTCATGGCATTAGGGAGTAAGGTTTATGTCCCCTCCCTCGTTATACATATTTGTTTTGTTTTTAATAAAACTCCCACCCAGACATCCGAGTTTGGAAGCTGGGTGGTTCCCCTATTCAGTGGCGGAGCCACATGCACCCAAGGGTTCATTAGACGTTAAATCAACTATACCACCAATCTGCGTGCAGAGCAAAACATTGCTCGTTCTCAATAACTGGTTGAGAATGTTTGTGTATGTCCGAGTGAAGATGCTGTACTCACTGATGTTTCCAAGCTCTTCATTAAGTTTACTAACAACCTATTTACACTGCTCCCAAGTTTTAAAAATGATTGGAAGTCACAAAAAAACATTTGCTTGCTTGAGTGTTTGATCAGAAATCAGACCACATGAATTGGAAAAATCCCAAGTAGTCATGGTAGTCATCAGTCAAAGGAAACTACAAAAATTGGAGTCATTACTGGTGATTTCACTATCAAAATTGCTTCAATTCATTCAGCAAATTTAGCTGAAAGTAAACACGTCCTCAAAGACCTAAAGTTTGGCTTGAAACATCTAATCAGATGCATATAGTAAATGATGGAGGTGAACAAACTTTTTTTTTCCCGCTGAATACAGCTAATCACAAAATGTGTGGGAACAGAAGTTCAATTAGTGGTTAGACAAATAGTTTACCAGCATAGCTCCCTCCTGACATATAAAAGTCTCTTCCTTTATATTCTGGAAACCGTTCAAACCACTTGAGAAAAAAAGCTAGGGAGTCTTCAGCTGCAACACAATAATTGAAGGTACAAATTTATAGCATGTTGTAAACAGGTGAAATATCATTCATCGTTGGAAGGAAAAAAGTTGATACAAACAGATCCAATAGCTACCAGTACTCTTTATCGCCATAATTTGAGATGACCAGAGGAAATGTTTGAATATGAATAACCAACTCCGACAGGAGAGTCGGGAAATAATAGGTTTGCATCTGCAAATAAGAAATTCATCAGTCACTATCCTTGTAAGTTCTAGAACTACCATAAACTATTTCCCATAACCACATGCAAACTGCAGATGTTATTCAAGCTGGATGTGTGACACTACAACTAGCAACATCTAAACAGGAGGAAAGAGGGATTTTTTTTTTGTGGGGGGGGGAGGGGGTGGTCTGAGTACGGACCTAAGTTACGAAAGTAAGGGTTCCAATAAAGGGTACTTCCAATCTTTCTCAATATGAAAAGGTCCAACTTCCTCAGCTAGTCCATAGACAATCAATGAACATCAAGGCCCTGTAAGAACCATTTCTTCAGTCAGAAAAATAAATGACGGACAACCAAGAAGCATTTTGTCTAGACATGCACATAAAAGTATCGTCATGGAAGGAAAGATTTTTATACTTTTAGAAAGAATGTGCAAAAGTAATGCGGAAAAACCGCAGATTAGTATCCCGATATCAGATTTTGTTTTTCTAGTTGTGGTGTCCGGGCCAGCTTGCATGCACCGCGACTAATTCCGGAGGATAGCTGCTAAATATCAGAAAATTATCCAATCTTAGAGGAGGAAATCATACAATTTCAAGAAAATGGAATTTGATCATATTTTAACTGATATAGACAACAAAAAATCATCAAAACACTGTAGTCAAACTAGCTCAAGCTAAAAGATGAGAAATAGAATGGAATAAAAGGGAAAAAAGTTGGGAAAGAGATATTGACCTCCTTGAAGCCAAAGAACAAGAGGCTTTGTTGATGGCTCATCAACAGCCACAACGAACCAGTGCAACAGACTTTTCACATATCCCTCATTGAAAGTGATAGTCTACAGGACCAAAAAGTTTTAAAAATCATTGCAAAACAGGAAAACCAACATTGTGTTTTTCTTCATCAAATATTATCTTTTCAATCTATCCTGATGAAATTGATAGTACATTATATTAAATTGGCTTGATACATATTTTACCCCAACATGTACGGAAATCCTTTAACTCAGTAACACTAACTTGCCTTATAAAATGAGATATTACACTCACCTCCATTGTGAGAAAAAGCCAACGGTATGAATCTGTACCAATGGTTGGAGCATTGTATTAAAAGAGTAAAATGAGAAAAGTGGAAAGAAAACCATTAAAAAGTATGAATAAAGAAAGATGTTTGTATAAATATGACCATCCCTTTCATCTCCATCCATCAAACTTTATAAATGTATTTTCTGAGGCAATGACTTTTTTTAGTAGGAATCTCAAATGAAGCAAAGGCTCATCTTTTTTTGATTGGTGAGAAGCTAAGGCTCATATTCTAGTCTTATTGTTTTTATTAGATTTCACAATAGAGTACAATCAAGGATCAAATAAATGATTTAACATAAATAAAAAGAAAGAAGTCCATAAAAAAATATGAAGTAAAACCAAGACGAGTAAAACCATAACAGAAATTGTCATTAAAAGAAGTACACATCAATGCTAGAGAATAACCAAGACGAGTAATCCATAGTCTACACAAGACGTGGCCATTGATGCCACTCATAAGCAAATAATCTGTAGTGTTGTGTTCTCCACCAAGGTTCTCCAAAATCATACACAAGTTGTGCAATATCCGTTTCCAAGTCATAAGAAATAACCTTGCCTCTTACTTCCAAATAAAAAATGTAAGGAACAGCAGGATGAATAACCATGTTCTGCACCTCAACACTAAGAGAGCCTGTAAGCCCGAAAGCCTTGACACGGAGAGTGTCGCCTCCAAGTCCAAATGCATCCGGACATTGCATCACTGTAGCTGCGACTTCTGCATCGTACTTCCTAACCCATACTACTGCATCTCGACTACAAATATCGCTCTCGAGGCGCCACACGGTAATGGCATCCCCACAATTCAATGCAAAATCGAGAGCCCCACCAGATAATCCAAGATAACAACTGTTTCCGAACACCATCTCTTCAGGCAATTCCAAAGCCCAGAAACACTTGTAGACACTATCATAAAAAGTGATCTGTCCACCTTGATCAAGCCAACAAAATACTCCATCAATGACACCAGCTGATGCAGCTGATCTAAATATCCCATCCCAGTTAAAAGGGTTTAATCTAAGAGGTACATCCAGAGTTAAATTATTGGCAGTCCACACATTGTTACACTGGACTGTAGCTCATCAAAACGACGAGGTATTTCATAACGAACTATAGTAAAGGAGATGACATCTTTATCAGAGTCGTCTACCTTACAACTAAATCCAACAGCTGTGCCGTTCTCCATGCAGATTTGAGTTTTAGGGAGAGCCAAATGCTGCCTCGTGGCAGGATTATAAACATAATAAACCCTAGGGCTTCTTCTATGTTTAGTGCAAAGAAGAAAACCATTGGATGATGCAACAATATATACTTTCCTGTTAAGAAAATTAACTGACTCATCTAAATCAATGTTTTTCGATGATGATTTCTTTGATTCGGAGAAGAAGCCAATTTTGGAAAGTCTTCGGGTTTGATAAAAAATACCAATTAATTCGGGTCGAGGCCTCCATCGTCGAGAACGGCAGCTATAACTTGAAGATGAATCAGAAATGTACTTTTGCCAGCTTCTGGATACACATTTAAACCTATCTAGAGATTTTGAAGGCAAACGATGCAATATTTCAATTTTGATATCTTCAGATAGCTCACGTTTATCGCACAATTTCCTTAAACGTTTCACCATAATCACACTCTAAGCTTGTCAAACTCACTCAAATTTCAGAAGCTGGGAATTGAAACAAAAATTAACCTCACTTTCAATAAAGAATTGTGTCGCCAAGATTCTTATGCTGACAAATAAATCCCAAAATCTCTGGGATTCGGAGTTACCAAACAAAACCTAATTTCGCTTTGAATCGGAATACTCAATTTAACGGGTTGGATTTTGGTTTTGAATCTCCCTTTGTTCTTGATAGATATGCCTTTTTCTTTTTAAATTACTTTGGAATGTTCTAATGAAAGATTTATCTTGAAAATACAAAAAGAAATTCCTTTTTCTTTTTATATTTTTCATATGAAACAAAAAACCTACTAAATTCTGTAAAATTGTAGTCAACCTTGTACAATCTCGTTTGTTCCGATATTTTTTGTCTTTTATAGTGAATGATTGTTATACACATATAATATCATTTAATATTTAAATATTTTATGGTTGTTACACATAAAAATTATCCAAAAATTAATTATTTTTTCTTTTTTAGTGTTACATATAAAAGATTTTAAAAAATTAAATTTAAAATCTCAAAAAATATGCACATTTCACTAGTTAAATATTGAAAAGAGGCTAATAGATTATTAATAAATTCATAATTAAATGTATAAATATTTAATCTCCAAGGCACGCATTTTAAAGCTATCTAAAAAAATAAATTCTTCCAGGATTGATGGAAGAACTTTGTAATTGTAGCTTGTTTCATAAATTTCATTCTCTTACTGGTGATATAACGCTTGAATTGGCGAAGATTCATGTCCAAAGTTTTAGCAAAAAAGGTATGTGATAGCTTTCATTCAAAGACAATCTAAGAGCTTAACAGTTAAATTTTATTTCTAAGTATTTTTTGAATTTTGTCCAATGGAAATGATATCGTGTGCAAATCTTTAAATCTTATATCTTATGCAATATAGAAACTTTGTTTAATGAAAAATATTGTGCGCATATTTTTAGAGCTACTATTATTAATCTTAAAGATTATATGTGGTTGTTATATAAGAGTAATTTTACAAAGAGTGTTCTGCTATAAATATGATTGTTGTTGTTACAGGTAAAAAAAACTATTATAGAGAGGTAAAATATAACTTGAAAAATTGGTTATGAGGAAAAATCGACTTTTATAGTGAATGGTTGTTATATATGGATTTGACTGTAAATATGTTTAAGAAGTAGTTACTTGGCAGTGTGGGTCATTTTTTGTTATACATGGAGGGTAGGGGAATGTAAACGGGGGAAGGTATTACAATATGGGGAGTCAAACCCTTACCAACAAAGTGAAAGTTTAGATAGTCAATCAGCTGAGCTACTAAAGTTCGTGTAACTCGTATTCACTCGAGTTATTTAAACTTATTTTAACGTTATATTATGTATATAGAATGATATATTAGAAGCCGAAATTTGTCCATGAAATCTTGTCTCAATTTTGCTACATCTAGCAATCACTTCAACGATTGTGCTAATATACTTATGCCATTAGTTGGAGAAGTTCTATCTGTGGCTTGTTATAATGAGACTGGTTTAATTTAATCACTTATTTTTTGTTACGTCACTCTTAAAATCTTGTTGGTTATAGGCTTAAGAATTTTGAGACGACTCAATGCCATCGAACTTGGAGCACAAATGAGCAATGCAACTAGTCATTCTTTTGAGATGATTATGAATTGGCTAAGCCACTTCACATAAAAGTTAGTTGATTACTTTTAATTAGTGAGTAAGGTTTATGTGCATCACTAGATTCTTTAGTTCTCACATATAACATATATAATGATACAAGGGAACAAAATCATGATTGTCCCACAAATTTATAAGTACAATCTAAATTTTTTGTAAAATAGATGTCAAAATTGGAAAGGATAATGTCAAATGACCATCTCATCTCATCGATTAATCCTTTCAAGCACAAGTGCATAATCTCATTATATATGTCATTGTGCGTAAACACCACTTAACATATTATTATTTTTCATCCGTAAAATGAGTGTTAAACACCTATCTCTTTTGTATAAGGGGCATTGCCAACATGGTTAGATAGGAATCATAATATAGTCGAAGCAAATAAAAAGTAACAAAAAACAAATCGTAATGAAAATTGAAAGAAAGAAATAAGCTACTTAAAAGCGGACGACATAAGAAATGACAATAATAATCACAATTGATTCTTAACATCTTTCGTGAATCAAGATGATCATGAAAACAAGATGTGTTAAGAACTTCTTACCCTATTCGTGGTGCTTTGTTCGTTATGTTTTCGTATTTCCTTTCATATTTTTGAATTGTTGCGACTATATTTTTGTTCGATATTATTAACATGTAGTTAGAATGAGCTTTCACTATTTGTCGAGACACGTCAAAGATCTAGATCCAAGGACACGATTGCATGTCACCACTAAACAAAATATCATAAATCATGCGCTCGACTCGTTTGGCCTGGGTCGTGGCCGATAATAACCTTATTTTTTATTCGTTTGAGTCTGTTTTGAATATGCTTAATTTGTTTGAGTTATCGTACTCCCCTTTCTCCCTTCTCTTTGTTTCTTCCTCTTCTTCTTCTTATTCTTCTTATTCTTTTCTCTTCCCCCCACCCACACACACAAAACAACTTCTGTACCTGTAGTAGGTAAGAGTAATGTATGCGTATACACTATACTCCCTAAACTCCACATATGAAAATATACTGAGTATGTTATTGTTGTTGAGTATATTTTGTTACCAATCTTATTTTTAAAGCTATTAAATTAGAAGTTAAACCTTGGTTTATCATTAAATTCTCAAAAATCACATTTGATTATTTTACCTACATACTAATTTTGCACCTTACTAGTAAATTTAACCTCGATTAGGAAATTTTCCCAAAAAGGCCAATAGTCATAGCTAAATTCGTACCCATAGAGAGACCCTTCCAAACCAGGTAGGGAGTGCAAATTATACCCTTCTTAGAAGCCCTCAAAACCCTCTCTTTCTTGCGTTTCTCTGCAGAAACAGAACTCGCACTCCCCCCTCTCTCTCTCTCTCCTAAAAATGGAAGATGACGACGAATTCGGAGATCTCTATACCGATGTGCTAACGGCGTCGTTTCAGTCTCAGCAGCCGCCAGCTCCAGCTCCACAAGACAAAGCCGCCGCCTCCAAAGCCGCCGCCGGTGCGGGCCCCACTACCCGGCCGATCGATCTGAACATCAACAGCGATGACGAGGAGATATTATACGGAGCTCCTAATCCGAATTTGAATCCAAAATTTACAGCCCCGAATTCTATTATCACTGGTAACGAAAAAACCCTAGCCGCTTTGCCAGATGTACAATCCGGGTCGAACTTACCCGAATTCAATCTAAATTTTAATCAAAAAGCTGGAAAACTCGAGGATTTGAGTGATATTAATGAATCGGATTCGAGTGCTAGGGTTTTGGAGAAGAGTGAGGATGTGAAATTACCTAAAGGGGGTTTTCAAGATTCAAATTTTATGGATGAGGATAATATTGATTTCGTAGTGGAAGAGAGGGATGATAAAGATGATATTTTGATTGAGAAAGATCAAAATTTAGGTGAAAGAAACAATGAGATTCTAAAGGATGGGAGTGAAAATGTACAGAATTTTGAGCCGTTGATTCCCGGCCTGTCAATCCCGGGCGTTTCAGGCGGAGGAGGGAATGGTGGAGATGGTAATCTTGAGGATGATTGGGATAGTGATGATAGTGAGGATGATTTGCAGATTGTGTTGAATGACAACACTCATGGACCAATGGGTATGGAGAGAATGGGGGACGATGAGGACGATGAAGATGGAGAGCCTTTGGTTATTGTTGCGGATAATGATGGCCCGAGCCATCCACCAATGATAATGGAGGAGCAAGAATGGGGTGAGGAAGGGGGTCCTGCTGCTAATGGAGAGAGAAAGGAGATTAATGATGCATTAAAAGTGAATGGAGCACCTGGAGGAGTGGTGGCAAAGGTTGGGTACAACAATCATGGATACCATCATCCGTATCATTCACAGTATAAGGTCAGTGATGTTGTACACGTGATCAGAACTTGCAATGTAAGATGACTTGTAATTTACTTAATAGTATTGTAGTCATTGGTGATGATAAGGCCGCTGGCTCTTATTTGTATGCACAAGCTGTATAAAGGATTGTACTGATGATGATAAAATTAATGAAATTTATTTTATAATTTTGTTGGCAATAAATCATGTTTGGGCATTCTCTATAGCATAATCATGATTTTAATTTATAGATAGATGATGTTTGAAATGTTTCAATTCAAGGCAGCTGCAAAGACAAGGATTGAACTCTCTTTGGAGATATCCAAAGTAGAGATGAAAATAGCCTTTGCGGAAAACGTGTGAGTGGATATGTGATGAATTCTGACTAATCAAAATTGTAAGTGGCTGCTTGTCCGTGCACACAGTTATTACCACGTGATCTGTCTAACAATAATCATTTAAAAGCACTTCAAAGAGTGGTAACCGGCTGTTATTGACAACTCTTTAAATAGTTGAAAGTTATATTTGAACTAAATATCACTGGCTGCAAGACTTATCTTCTGTGGCTATGCTAGTAGGCTTTGAGAATGTTAATGGGGAATTTCTGAAAATTTTACACACATTAGTTTGTTGGACCACTCCTGACTTTTAAAATATCTTTCCAGTTTTTCGATGCTTTTGTCTCTAGTCAGTGCCTTCATTTTCCAGATGGGCTGGACTTGTGCAAGTAGGTCATTAACCAATGAAGCCTATTCAAGCCAATCTGGTTGCTTAAACTGATAATTACATTAGCTGAAGAAAGATGCACTTTCTTATGCTGAGTGATGAAGTACAACTTTCAAGTAGTATTTGGTCGAATGTAAAGAAAGAAAAGATATATAAGAATCAGTAAAGCTGATAACTGTTTTATTCCGGTTGCATAAGGTTTATCAAATTAAGCTACATATGCAAGATCTATTTTCAGATGTTTACTACTTTCCCTTTTGTATTAAATAAAGATCTATTTTCAGATGTCGTAATAAAACTGAAGATCTTAGTCCTTATTTCTCATTTTTTTCTTGTTGAATCTGTGAAAACTAGGCTGTATGTTCTTTTTTTTTCCTTTCATTTTTAGAGCAAAGTTTTACAATACTTAACATTTGAACTGTTCTTTTGCAACTTATTTACTCTTGCTTGTTTACTTGCTGATATACCCGAGTTTGTTGTCTGTTTCTTCTCTGATGATTGGAAGATTAACTATATATTTCTTATCTTGATACTTTTTTTTGTTGTCGCTGTCCTGATAGTCGTTTTTTGTTACATTATTTTGACTGCTGATAGCGAATCTTTCCTCCCTTTTTCTTGTCTCATGTAGTATGTGAGACCTGGTGCAGCTCCTATGCCTGGAGCTCCTCTGTTGGGTCCTGGAGGAGCACCTGGTCAAGTTCGTCCCCCTGTCAATGTGGGTCCAGTTGGTGGACGTGGTAGAGGTGATTGGCGACCAACAGGAATGAAAGGTGGCTATGGGATGTCCGGTTGGGGAGGCAGTGCGCCTGGCCGTGGCTTTGGGATTGGGTTGGAATTCACTCTTCCATCGCACAAGTATGTTTCTTTGTCTGGCCCTGATTTATACCTTATTTGAATTTGGCATTTTTCTGTTTGGTGATTTTTGTGTTTACTTTTACGAAAGAATTACGTGTGCCACCTATCTCTTTCCTAGTTACACCACTTTACTCCCATAATTGTTGATTCTGTAATTTAATTGGATTAATGTCATCATGAGCAAATCTTCTAGTCCAGCCTAAAAAGCTTGCGGGTGCTTTAGTTATTACGTCCAAAATTCTGTTGAAGTTTTAGAGTAATGTAACTATATTTACAGAACAATATCTTTTCGAGATGCATCTGCCATAAGGAAATATTTCCGGGAAGAGAGAAATCAGAGATGCTTTGAAGATAAATCTAGTAACATCCAGAAGATGAAGATGAAGTGTTTAGTTCTTTTCTATTTTTGGTGTAAAGGAAAGTGTTTGGAAGATCATGAATCCATTTTTGATGTTTTAGAATTCTTGTGAGAAGATAAAGGATTAGGAGTGTTCTTTTCTGCATTCCTCTTTGTAATTATAGGCGACTCCACAGTTTTTCTGTTGTCAAAATATTAACATACAAATATGTTACCTTTTCAAAAATATCTTCACAAAATGCAGTTAATAATCATTTAATTCTTCCTGCCTCTTCTATTATGGCGCTCTCAGCAGCTGCTATAGCCTATAAGAAGTGTTTGCTTCCTGAAAATTTTTGTGTAACTTTTGATTTTTGATATCTCTAAGACCTATTGAAGAACTTGTCCTCATATCGTTAAACTCTGTGGAAGAAGGTAGTTAATATATAAGCATGTGTTAGATATATGAGGCAAAAGCTCATGCTTTTTATGTGGCATGTGAATGCTGGTTTGCGTGTATAGAAAGGATGATAGAATGAGCATGTTGGAGTGTGGCTGAATGCCTGAAAGTATTATTTTGCATGACTGATTTTCATTTGATCATTCTTTTTCTGGGAAAACATGTAAATACTGGAAAGAGTTAAAGACAGTTAAAATGCTCATTTAGCATTGTACATTGTCAGGACTATATTTGAAGTTGACATAGATGGTTTTGAGGAGAAACCTTGGAGACTTCCAGGCATTGACGTAACAGATTTCTTCAACTTTGGTTTGAACGAGGACATCTGGAAAGATTATTGCAAGCAGCTGGTTGGTCAACTATACTTCTTTTTCCTGTATTAGATTTCCTTGTGAATCTGTGCTTAAAAAACCTTAAAAAGATTAGTTCTTTTAAACCGAGGAACATTTTGTATTTCACGGTTATTCTCTTTATATCGTTAGGGTTCCAAATAAATTGATTCCCAAGCTACCTTTGCAGGTTAAATTTTGCAAGCTTGGGACAAATTGTAAAATATGATTTTATTGGGATGCTTTACATAAGCTCTCTTCCTCCTCCCCCTCTAGTATTCTCCTTCCCTTTCCTTGTTCTTGTTGTGCCATGCCCCATAACCTGTTGGCCGCGCCCTAGTGCACCGTGGCAAGCCTCTCAGCGCCTGCAAGGAATTGTGCATGCGTTAGGAGAGCTAACAAGGACCTACTTCGAGGTGCAGCCATACAACAACAACAACAATAACAACAACCCAGTAAAATCGCACAAGTGGGATCCGGGGAAGGTAGTGTGTACGCAGACCTTACCTCTACCCCGAGGGTGTAGAGAGGTTGTTTCTGATAGACCCTCGGCTCAAGAAGACGAAAAAAGACAATATCAATACCATCAACAAAAACCATAGAAATAATAACATCACAAGCATCGGTAAACAGATGGAAAGCAAAAACAATAACCAGTAAATAAGGCCCGACACTAAGAAAACAGAAGAGTAGTATGAACACAACATTGACCACTAGCAGTCTAAGACAAAATCCTATCAAACTAGCCTCACACTGGTACGAGTTGGAAATATGCTCAACTACCTCCTAACCTACAACCTTAATGCTCGACCTCCACAGCTTCCTATCGAGGGCCATGTCCTCGGAGATCTGAAGCCTCGTCATACCCCACATGATCACCTTTCCCTAATACTTCTTAGGCCGCCGTCTACCTCTCCTCGGACCCACCAACGCCAATCGCTCGCACCTCCTTACCGGGGCATCTGGGCTTCTCCTCTCTACGTGCCCGAACCATCTGAGCCTCGCTTCACGCATCTTATCATGCATGGGAGCCACGCCCACCTTCTCCCGAATATCTTCATTCTTAATCTTATTCATCCTAGTGTGCTCGCACATCCACCTCAACATCCTCATTTCTGATGCTTTCATCTTCTGGATATGTGAGTTCTTAACTGGCCAACACTCAGCCCCATACAACATGGCCGGTCTAACCAACAACAACAACAACAACAACCCAGTATAATCCCACTAATGGGGTCTGGGGAGAGTAGTGTGTACGCAGACCTTACCCCTACCCTGGGGTAGAGAGGCTGTTTCCAATAGACCCTCGGCATCCTTCCCTCCAAGAACTCCCCACCTTGCTCTTGGGGTGACTCGAACTCACAACCTCTTGGTTGGAAGTGGAGGGTGCTTACCATCAGAGCAACCCACCTTGTCTGGTGGCCGGTCTAACCACCACTCTATAAAACTTACCTTTGAGTAGCGGTGGTACTTTTTTGTCACACAGGACTCCAGATGCTAACCTCCATTTCATCCACCCGACCCCTATACGGTATGTAACATCCTCGTCGATCTCCCAACCCCCCTGGATAATCGACCCAAGGTACTTGAAACTGCCTCTCGGGAATGATCTGCGATCCAAGCCTCACGTCCATGCCCGCTTCCCTCCGCTCGGCACTAAACTTGCACTAAAGATATTTCGTCTTAGTCCTGCTCAACTTGAAACCCTTGGACTCAAGGGCCTGTCTCCAAACCTCCAGCCTCTCGTTAACGCCGCTTCGTGTCTCGTCTATCAGAACTATGTCATAAGCGAATAACATACACCATGGCATCTTCCCTTGAATATGTGTGTCGGTGCGTCCATCACCAGGGCAAATAGGGGTGCAGCCATAGATTAGCAAAATAAAGTGCATGATGTAGTAGATGTGTGTAAATATTCGCATTGGTTCCACCGACCGAAAATCTTGAAAGATGATAATCCATCTTTGCTACAGGAACAACTGCGACTTGAGTCAACTATGCAAGGAAGAATTCGGGTATATGAAAGTGGAAGAACAGAGCAGGTAATGCTTGTGCAGATGAAGATGCTATCTTCAGCAATACGTGTCTAAGATACTTATCAGACTTAATAGTTGTTATTATTCTTATGTTGTATTCATTTTAGGAATATGATCCAGATCTTCCCCCAGAGCTTGCAGCTGCAGCTGGTATTCAAGACATTCCATCTGAAAATGTGAATCATGGTAAAACTGATGGAACTTCAAGTGACCTAGCAAGAGGATCTATACGCATGCGACCGCCACTAGTACGTATTTCAAGTTCAAGCCTTACCTTTAGAAATTTTTCTGGTATTATTTGGGCCTCCCATTCCAACTTGGCAATTGGGTGAAGTATGCTTACTGTTACATCTTTAATTAAGCAAGTAATGATACAAAAGTTTCAGATATTAGTTGCCATACTACTCACTGATATGATATGACATTCTACTAGCCCACTGGAAGACCTATACAGGTTGAAACCGGTTCTGGTGATCGCCTACCATCAATTGATACCCGACCACCACGGCAGCGTGACTCGGATGCAATTATTGAAGTGAGTGATCTGACCCTATCTTCTTCCAAATTCAAAATGGAAGTGTCTATCAAAAAAGGAAAAAACAGCAAAATTTATGCTGGAATCTCTCTCTGCATCGTCGTTTTCGATGTTTCTAACAGGATGGTGCTGCTGCTTATTTTCTACATCTTATTTTATTGTCTTTTCCGGGCTGCCCTTTTTATTTTATTTATGTCTTCTGTAATTTTTTTTTTTGGGTGAACAGATTGTGTGCCAGGATGATGACCAATACTCAGGGAATGACAAGAATGAGGTGCAATTGGGCAATAATTCTCCAACAGATGATTTTAGAGGCGATGCAAGAGGAGGCCCCCTGCAGGAGGATTCTGATGGTTTCCAGCATTCTTATAAAAGCCACAAGCAAGATCTCAGTACTAGGAGATCACAGTTTATGAACCCTGTAGGTGATCGTTTGACCAAAGGAGATGGAGTGGGTCCTTTTCCCTCGGAAGCTCCTGGTCAGTTTGTTTCTGATTCTAGAGGACAGACTTCTGCATGCGGCAGCAAGACTAATGTTGAAAGGTACTATATATGTTGCCTATATAATGGTTTATCTTCCTGAGCAAGTGGAAGTTAATTTTTCATTTCCTGTTTTAACTGGTAATTAAGATAGAAGCAGCATGAGGTTTCACTAACTTATTGGTGTTATCAGCCCAACAATATTAAATATGAGTAAATGTTGGCATCCAAGGCTATCTGTATCCACTAGATAAATGAAGTAGAAATGCGAACTTCAAGATGGATGATGTCCTACTAATTTGGAAAAGATCATGATTAGTTTGACCAGAGGGTGCAGCACATGGGGAATGAATTGAGAAAAGTCGTCAGATATGGATTTGGTCATGTTTTTAGGTACAACAATATGCTGATTGAATGTGATAAAGTGGATGAGGCAGACTTAGTAGGCGTTTGGACATGAATTCCAAAAAAAAATTCAAATTTGAAATTTCACTAAAATTTGAATTGAAGATGAAGTTGTGCTTGGTTATAATTTTTGCAACATATTTGGATGTTTTTTTTTCAAAACCATGAAATAGGATTTATACCCCACAATTTGTAAAAAATATCAAAACCACTCCAATTTGGTTTACTCATTGTTTTGCGTTTCTACAATATAACAATAATAGAATAATCAATCACATATGAAAGCTTTCATCTTTAGAGTGCATAACAACTGAATATAAGCCTTATAAGTAATAATGAAGGCACGCACATAGTAGCACAAAGGAAAATAAAACTTTAAATCAAGTTATCCTGTTAACCGGTGACGGAGCAGTCACAGAATTCTCGTTTGAAAGAAGAAGACCTGCTGCTTGCGTTTTGTGTTTCTGACTTTATGGAAGGGAAAGTTGTTAGTTGATGGTTACCTAGGTTAATAACTAATGGGGTCTTTTTATAAATTTTAAAAATATAGGGTAAATTTGTAAAACTAAAAAATAGCAACCTTCCAATTTTCAATTGAAAAATTGGTTCTCACCAGTTTTTCAAATTTGAAAATGCATTTTCAAGTGAGATTGAAAAAATTGTAAGATTTTGATAACCAAACACTGTTTTGAAAAAAATAATTGAAATAAAGGAAAATTTTCTTATGTCCAAACGAGTTCTTAGAATTATGTGGAGAAAAGTAATTACAAAAGACCTACAATCTCTCAGAAGTAATATGGACTTGGCTAAGAAATTAACACAGTGGAAGCAGAGGACATCCATGTAGGGCATCCATCTAGTTGGGTTAAAGCTTAATTCTTGTTGTTACTTTAGGTCTGGCATTTGCTAGGAGTTTTTTTCTTCTATTCCAAGACTTGTATTCCTGTGTATGAATAAGTGTGATATTTAGAGAACCTTAATTTATGTAGTATAGGAATGAAATGGAAGTGAATAGAACGGAATGGATTGCAAATATTTCATATAGCCGATGAAATATAAGGATACTGCTGTAATTTTGGAGTTTTTGCAATCCTTACAATCTTGGAGGATTGTCAGCTTGTAATGGTTTGTACTCGTTCGGTACTAGCTTATAACTGAATTTTCATTAGTAAAATTTCCCTTTTACTTATAATTTTTTTTAGGATCTGGTATAGTTGATTGATTGACCCTAAATGTTGATAATGTGGCCGAGGGTCCTAGGAAGATTTCCTTTTCTTTCAGAAAGGATTCCCGTCATGTTTGTGATTTGCATGCTCAAAGTCTCTTCTCCATTGCAGATCCCAAATCTATGGTAGTTCTGTGAACCAGATATATCTCATTGCTGTAATACACTTTGGTTTGAAGTGAGCCATGCATGTAGTAAATGAGCCATGTTCTCTTGTACCTAGAAAAGTAGGGTACTTGCGGGTGGTTCTAGATTGGAGCAACTCATATAAAATTAAGGGTGGTTTCTTGATCAATAAAATGAAGGGTGGTTACTGGTGGTTCTTGGTAGGAGGAGCTTATACAATATTAAATGTTTATGATTAGCAATTTACGGATTAATTTTCTTAGTCTGGCGGATGCTTCTTCCTTCTTTTTCTTTTTGCTGGCGTAAGATGGAGATAGCAATATGTACATGATATAGGAACAAAATTATGCTGCAAGTCCAATTATTTAAATTCCTTGTTCTTATTATTAGGAAGATCGGCCATTTGGCTTTACATTTAATTATTATTATTTATATTTTTCAAAAGAACCATGGTGGGGGTTAGGCATAGACCCCAACCAGTTTAAAAAGGATAAGTACAGGCTTTACATTTAATTTGCTCTCACTTATCTCCCCCAAAAAGAGACTCATTCATCACTGTGGAATCATTTGCTAGTGGATATGCTTAATAATATACAGTTATTTGGCTTAGATGTACTTTGTTAAGCTGTGTTTGGCAACTTTTCCTCTATGGCACTGTTAGGTGATAACTACTTTGTGTCATGCTAATATGAAGAAGCTGTTAAGTTTAGCTAGATGAAAGTAAAACTCCAGACAAATGCGGGGGTCTAAACATCAAAGTATAGTGTTCGACTTTGGTGGTCTAGGCTGGTTAATCCTTCACTGCGGAAAAACATTGACAAACTGATCTCAGAAGGCAGCAGCATAGATATTTTGGAACTCTTGGAACTGTATCTAAATTTGTTCGAACATGTAGGGACATACTTAAATAGGGACATACTTAAAATATTTGTTCAACAAGATAAATAATTAAATTATACATCTAATTTTGGAAATTGTAAACCACAAAGAGAATTTGTTTTGTGCATTTGCATAGAAGTCATTGGATATTTTTTTTTTGGATGAAGTAATATGTTTCATTAAAAAGGCATCAAGAAGATGCAAAGTTACAAGAGGCATATTTGCAAAATAAACAAAAATACAGGAGATCATTGTTTGCCCCAAAACAAAGTCTCAATCTTGGACAAGAGAGCTAATAAAATCCACAAGGTGTCCAGTACTATTTACGGGGGACAACTTTGTCCAACAAAAAAGATTAAGCAAGCATTTAGATTTGAGTAAGTGGTTTAGGGGTGAGGTACCATCAAAACATCTTCTATTCCTCTCGTTCCATAAACACCAAAAAATAGTTGCAGGGATCATAAGCCAGATCTTCTTGTTGGTCTTATCAACCTCTCAAAGACTCCAGCTCTTATGTGCCTCTCTCAGGCTCTGTGGCATGACCCAGCTTAGGCCAAAAATACCGTAGAACATGTTCCATATGTCTGTGGCTACTTGCGAAGTGTAGAAGTAGGTGACTAAGGCCTCATTTGTTTGCACTTAATAGAGGTCTGAATCTTAATCATTCATATCTCAGACATAAAGTGCGTTTGTTTTGAAGTCTGAATCTTAATTATTCAGATTTTAATCATTAAGTGTGTTTGTTTTTTACTTTACGTCCACTTAATGAGTCTGAATAGGTCTGTATGACTAAGATCTGTAACAAAGACTTAATTTCATTAAGATGTTATCATCCACATTCATTATTAACTGCCGCCACCGCCTACCGTTATCAACTACCAACATGCCACCCACCACCACCATACTCAACCACCACCACTCCCATCCTCAATCATAGCCGCCACCATTATCGACTACCACCCCCACTATCCCCACCAACCCCGCCCATCATTCTCAACTACAACCACATATTCATCCACCGTAACTACCATAACTAACCACCCTATCACCATCAATAACCATAGTCGGCACTGCCCACCATTATAAACTACCACTATCCACCACTACCTTCCTCGATCACAACCACCGCCACCATCCTCAATCATAATCGCCACCACTACCAATCACCACTAGCTACTACCCTGAACCACCACCATCAACCAAAACAGTCATCAACCACTGCCTCTGGTCGGCATTCACAAGCACCATCGTTAGCCATCACCACCACCAACTACCATATTTTAAAAAACTATATATTTTATTGATAGAATATTAGATTAATTAGTATTTTATTTAAATTTTATGTTTTCAAATAAAGATAAATTTTATACATTCAGATGTTAACAATCAAACAGTATCATTTAGTATTCAGATCTACACATCTGAATATTAGACGTCTTAATCTTTAAAAAAAACAAATGAGGCCTAACTCTTTCCTGGTATCTCCTGCAAAGATAACATCACCCTTATGTTAAGGTTATCTTGTGTTAAGCAGGCTTCATGAAGGGCAATCCAATTGAAGCATATCACCTTCAGAGGTAATTTTGTCCTCTATATCAGTTTCAAAGGCCTCAGTTTCAAAGGCCATGAGTGCAATACCTGATTCTGATTGTTAAGTTGCCTGTAGCAATCTTTAACAATGAAAAGACCCTTACAGCCCCATCTCATTCTATCTGGAACATTCTCATCAATGTTGTAAGCTTCCAATCTTGCTAGCATTTCCATCAAGTCTTCCATCTCCCAACAGATCTCCTGAGATGCACATCCTACTTATTATTTGCCCTGTTATGAGCAATTGAAGAATTCTTGTCCAAGCATTGTTGAATAAGCTAGGATAGTCCTCCATGAGAGCAGTGTTGTTTAGCCAGTTATCCTTCCAACTTAATTTGAATTCCGCTGCCTGGCTTGAAATGAATATTCTGAAAAAATTCATTCCCCTGTTTGCTAATATACTTCCAGGGCCCTACTCCATAGGGTGCATTGACAGTTTTGGTGCTCCAATTGTCTTTAATCCCATGTTTTGCATCGATCACCTTTTTAAACTTAAAAATTAAGTCAAATGGTATTATGGAAGTTTGTGAGAATAAATTGTTCTTTAAATGGTGTCGCATAAGATCCTGATATCCTACTATTTTTATTTTATATTCAACCCAAAATGAATTGGTTGTCCTTCATCAGAACTTCTGTTTTACGGGGTTCCTATTTCAATTTATGTAGGAAAAAGATCACCAGGTCCGTAGTTATGCTGCTAGGTGAATTGATTCATCAAGTTCATTTTCTGATACATCAGTGTTGATTTATCATAGAACTATGTCCAATTAGATTTGGTTACTTGGCATGGAAGTGAGCATAACAAAGTCAAATATTAGTGTCTCAGATTCAAATCCCAGTGGAGGCAAAAACTACTAGGTGATTTCTTCCTATGTATCCAAGCCTTGGTGGATAGAGTTACCTAGTACCTGCTGCTGTGACAGGTATCCCGTGGAATTAGTCGAGGTGCGCACAAGTTGGTCCGGACACCACGGTTATAAGAAAAAAACAAAGTCAAATACGTATTAGTATTTAGTTAATTGCTATAGCTCTTCATCGAGTATCGAACTTGCTTTTGATGATACATTAGAGTATCCTTTGATATCATCTTTCTGTGGTTACTACTTTTTATGTATTAGCAGATCCTATCCTTTATTGGCACTGTCTTCTCACTAGTATGGAAGGTTTGTTAGCAATGCCCGAGTCCAGTCCTTTTCTTTTTTCTAGTTAGAAAAATTAATTATTAGTACTAGCAAATAAGAGTACATAGGAAGCATAGGAGAGGTCCTTAAATAGGGAATATCAGAAGATAGGACACACAATGCTCTAAACAACACGTGCCCACCCACCCATCCTTGTAGTATTTGATTGGTAGCTGCTTCTACCAATTTGACAACCTAAAGTTTAAGATTGACCCGCAGCATAAATATGTCGCATGTGTCATGAGATATTTTTTTTATTTATCAGATTCTTTTATTTAGCTTGTTCAAAGATGGTTTGTATGAACCAGTTATTTCCCTTAGCATGTATTATCCTAGTCTGTTGAACAATGATCTATTTTGGACATGCGACTTTGAGAATCTGAGAATCTCTTGTTCATATCACCATACTTGTTAAAAGCCCTTTGAAAAGCTTCCTATCTTATATGGATGTGTTAAGGAGTAATGTTTAATTGCACATTATGCTAACGTCCATGCGCTTGCTAATTGTCAAAAAAGCGTTTTTGTCCTCTGCTTCTTTTCTAAGAGTCTATTGCCTTGCATGTTATCCTAATTTTGGCTGTCTCTCCGTTTTTTATTCCAGGGAAAACAAGGGAAGTGCACGCGAAGGATCACCTGATATTAGTCCCAGTGGTGATAGCAGAGACAGACTCCAAGTTGATAATCAGAGAGAAGAATCAGTTGAAAGTGTTGATCATAGGCACAGTCCTGTCCCTCCTTCACCCACCACTGATAGACCTGCTCAGGAGCAAGATATGGAAGATAGAGATAATATCCCTGATCAACCTGTGGGAGCTGACACAAACAGTGAAGTTGTGAGAGAGGAAATGGCTTTTGATGCAAGAAGTGATAGTGAAGCCATGAATGATGAATTTTTACATTCTAAAAAGCAAAAGTTAAGTTCACGACGTGAACAATCTTCTCCGCAAGAAACTGATGGTGGAGAAGACTCCAAGGCTGGAAGAAGTAGCGAGAATAGCAAAGCCCAATCTGGAAGCAGTAGAGATTATCGCAAATTACGGGATGATGTTGAGGAGGAAGTTGTTCAAGATGGACGTTCTATGCGCATGGATAATGCCAAAAAAGCAGTTGCCAGGGACGAGGATAGAGTCCGAAGAAGAGCCTACAATGAGAAAGAAGCAGAAAAGCACCGTGGGGTAGTGAAAGGGAGGGAAGATTCTTACTCCCGTAAAGGCGTTGACTCTAGCTCAGCCCATTACATTGACCGACGGAGGGAACGTGAATATTCAGAGGCAGTATGGCAAAGGAGGGATGAAGATCTACCGGGGAGGAGAACTAAAGTGGAAGAACCACGAAAGAGAGAGCTTATTGATGAAACTGGATCCAGACACCGCAGCAAGGTGCGAGAATTTGATGGGAGTGATAGAGAAGAACGCCATTTACATAGAAAGCAGCTGGAGAGCATTACGTTAAGGCCTGATTATGATAAGGATATGGGAGCAAGGCAAAGAGACAGGGATGAGTTGAAGAGGTATGATACCTTGGATGATCGCCACAATAAAAGAAGGAAAGAAGAGACAAAATTAAGTAGGGAACATGCTGACAAGGAAGATTCCTTCCATCCGCATGGAGAAAATATGGTTCATAGAAAGAGAGACAGAGATGATACCTCAGATCATCGAAAGAGAGATGAGCTATTGAGACTAAGAGATGATGAGCAGCATTATATCAGGCACAAAGAAGATGGAGTATTTCAGAGGGAGAGGAGTGACAGACAGCGAGAACGTGAGGAGTGGTATAGGCTTAAACAGTCCCAAGAAGAGGCACTATCAAAAAGGGAGAGAGAGGAAATAAGGGGCGGTATGCGTGCTGGGCGTGTTGCAGAGGAAAAAGCTTGGGCCGGTCATTCTAGAGGGAAAGATGAGCACAGAAACTCTGATCAGCATTTGAAGGATGTGAGGCATGCTGACCATATTAGAAGGAGGGATCGTGCTGAAAATGAAAGTCCTTCAAGGCTGAGGACCCGTGAGGATGAGAGAAGAGCAAGGCCTGATAGAGTGAGTGCACGCGAAGATCGTGCTCTCCATGCTCCTGATAACTCCAGGGTGAATGAGAAAAGACATAAAGAATATTTAAAGAAAGGTAAAGAATTTGAGGGGGATCATAACTCCCAGATTGCTTCGAACATGAACGAAGACGAACTGAATGGACGGAGAAATGAGATGGTAAGTACCTACGTCGTCTATTTTATACCCCAAGAGTCATCAAGATTTGGTTGTCACATTGCATTTAATAATGACAATTTAGGACATTGTGTCCTTAAAGACAGGGATAGCAAATTTTACGCATTTAGTAACAGATGATCTGCTAGTGGGGTGAAATTGAAAAGATCTCCCGAAATTAAGACAGCCGCATTTGGTCCTTTTCTAAAACACTTTCCTAAATGAAAATAAAATACTATCAGAAATTAAAAGCGGTCAAAAGGTAGGTTTCGCAAAAGATAATACAAGATAGTAACGCCTCAGTCCAGATGGCTCGGTCGGCTATATGATCCCTCTTTGTTCATTCCAACAACAACAACATATCGAGTGAATCCCACGAGTGGGGTCTGGGGAGGGTGTGTACGCAGACCTTACCCCTACCTTGTGAAGGTAGAGAGACTGTTTCCGATATACCCTCGGTTGGAATACCTCTTTATTCATTCTAATCTACTAAATTCGTTTCATTCTAGTTCAAATTTTCCTCGAAAATGATTTGAAGTTTTTTTCGGAACCTAATTTTCCCAAAAATTAAATCTAAGATGTTCTACCAAATTGAGTTCCTTTTTTCTTCTTTTTTTTGGGGGGGGTGGTGGTGGCGGCAATGTTTTGGCATCTAGACCAACTTGCCTGTACTTGCTATTTCACTGCAGCGCAGATGTTCGTAACTTTACTTACTAAGACTTAAACAGATATTAAGAGTTCACTTAGTGTCGCCTCTGATAAGGTTCCGACCTTGGTTCTCAAGGTTTTATGTCAACTCAGATTATTATGCCACCCCTTGGAAGCTCTAACAATCTGGTTTTCTTCTAATATTCATGAGGAATTCTTAAAGCTAAACACAAAGCTTAGACAGCACAGTGAACTATTTAATGGAAATTCTGGTAATTAGAAGAGGCCTGGTACTCTGATTACACATGGTGTGGTACTTAGACTCTATTAACTCAGATGGTACTTTCTAGAGATTCATTTAGAATTTGATGACTTGAAAAACTTTGATATTTCTACAAAATACTTCTTGAGTTTTTTTTTCCTTTTAAAGTTACACACGATGGTGGATAGAAATACTTGGTAAACTCTTGTTAACTACGCTGGTGGAAGGTAGCAAGTGTCCTATGGAATAATCGAGGTGCGAATAAGTTGCCACAAACACCATCGTTACTAATATAAGTTATAATATAACGGTGGCGTTTGGGCTAGCTTACGTTTAAAAAAAATTAGGGGAAGAATTGTCTGAATGTAAGAAGAAAAGGTGGTAAGCAGTGCTAATGGGGTTTGAAGGCAAGATTTCATAGAAAATTTGAACACCTGGTTGATTTTTTTTTAATATCTAAATAGAATTAAATAATTCTGTTGATGCGATAGGGGAAGTCCCTGCTAACTAATTTATAGACAAAAGTAGAGAATATCGCAAAAAACTGATATGAAGAACATCTCATTATCTATATAGACTTGAATGTCAGCTCCACAAATGTTTTAAGTTAAAGTTTCAATAATTAATACGAGGGTATTGTTGACTTTTTCAGATGCTTTTTGGTCCTTTAGGTCTTAGGTCCTTTTTGGGACAGATAGCTCAAAATTTTCAACAGCACTCTATTACGGGTAATTTTCAGGTGAAATAATATTTTGAGCCATTTAGAAACCACGTGCTAAACCCATGAAGCACGTTGAGAGACCAAATAGGAACTTAGTTGCAAAATTGGCTTGGAATCTCTGATTTTTGTATGCTTGTACTCTCGAACATACTTGGGCGCTACAGAAATTTCAGTTGACTAGATTGTAGGTGTTTAATCACGGACGAGGAATGTGAGGTATTTACAAACTAATTTCTAAAGGTAGAAGGTGCATTCGGACTTTGGAGTCCAAACAGATGGTTAACAGCAAGACAGGTTGACTGGAAGTATTGTTCTCAAACTAGTTTAGATCTAATATGGAAAACTGATTCTATGCGTTCGACACAACTATCAAACAATAAGTTGGAAAGGAAACTTGAGAGGCACACTGGATTTAATTTGCATAAATAATCCAAGTGTGTGTATATGTGATTCATATTACTCTTGAGTTTTTAATTTAGATCGATGGAGTATTAGTTAAATGTTTGTTTCCTGTTATCTCCAAGTGCTACTGCTATATCTTTTCTACTGAAGGTGCTTATCGCGGAGGTCTTTCTTACCTTCAGGTGAGCTTGAAGAGAAAATTTGAGCAAGGAACCAATGAGAACAAGGTCCACCGGAATCGTCAGTCTTCCAGGAAACAGCAGGAAGAGGCATCATCAGATGATGAGCAACAGGATTCCAAGAGGGGACGTTCCAAGTTGGAAAGGTGGACAAGCCACAAGGAAAGAGACTTTAGTGTCAATGCTAAATCATCTTCCTTGAATGTGAAAGACATTGATGTACACAAGAGCAGTGGTATTTCATTAGCTAACAAAAATCCGGATGAAGCTTTGAAGGCAGTCGAAGACAATCAACAGCCTGCAGCTAACAATAAAAATGGAGGTGGTCCAGAAATTAATAATGTAGAGACAAAGCATATGGAGGATAAACACTTGGAGACAGTTGAGAAGCTGAAAAAGCGGAGTGAGCGCTTCAAGCTTCCAATGCCAAGTGAAAAAGAAGCTCCAGTAAGTAAAAAGGCGGAAGGTGATCCAATATCGTCTGTCCAAAGTGAAATCCCTCCGGATTCGGAGGTGAAGCCAGAGCGTCCAGCACGAAGGAGGAGATGGACCAGCAATTAAATGAGCACTCAATGAACATCTTTGTTGGATGACTTGTTTCCTCCTCCTGGAGTATATGTCTCCTTGGCTACTGTATTTCCAATATGGATACCTTGAGGAGCAGGCCTTGTTGTCTATTCAGGACGTGGGGTTCGTTTAGACCTTCCATAATAGATTTGGGAATCTGTAACATGTCTACTTTATCTATTTGGTTTTCTTAATTCTGTAATACATGTATATACCAGTAAGCGTAACACTTTAGTGGCCCATTGTTTGGGTGCCAGAATTACATTTTTGGTTATTAAATGACATTGAATTATAGTGTATGAGTAGTAAACACTGTATACGAGAACCATAGTTGGTGACTATGGTTGACGACCACGTCCTCCATGGTCTTTCTTCCTTGAACCACTCTCTGGCCTCTGCAAGGAGTCCCTGTTTACTGTCACTTTTTTGGACTGTGAATGATGAGACTTCAGGAACTGATCAAGAAGATGAAGGATTGGCTGAGAAATAAAATTTCAGGAGGATCTGGTATTAGGAAACATGGACTTGATATTGCCCTGGCCATGTAGGTAGTATGTATGATGATAAGCTTATTTGTCTCTTGGAAAAGTTTATTATTTCTTGGAGCGCAAAGTCAGATATGTGATATTTGTATGTTGTGTTAGAGAAAGTAACTGTGTTACAGAAATTATAAAACAAAAGAAAATCTCTTGACCACGCAAATGTTTTCTTTTCTCTTTTAACTTTTCGTTTAAGGTTCTTGTGGTTAAGATTGGAAAAGAGACCCAGAATTATCATAAACATGAGGCCGTTCATGATATACTATCAGTTATTGTCTGTCAGTGAATTTAAAAGTACCAAGCTATTGCAGGAATATGTCTACAAGAGTTCCAAATGACTAACATTTTATTGCCATAATAATTCTTCATTTATGGGAAAGGGAGCCTTGACATAACTGGTAAAATTGTTGTCATGTGATCAGGAGGCCACGGGTCCTTCCCCGGACTCCGCACATAGCGGGAGCTTAGTGCACCGGGCTGTCCCTTTTAATAATCTTTCCTTTGAATAATTTTTCATCTCTGGCTGTGTCATTAGCACTTAGCAATACACTTTGTATGTAACAAGTTCTAATTACTCGTGGAGATACTAGTCTTCATACGAAGAAAGTGAAGATAAAGAGAGGTTTGATTTAACTCATGATTTTGATAATCTGATGCTTGTAATTTACTGTCTTTTGTCTTGATGATTTTGATAACACTTTTGTCTTGGTACAGCTGAATGAACGTTCACTTGTAATACTACAAGTCTACACTTTCTAAAGCAAAGCAAATTCGTTATGCACGGATAAACACTGCTAGAAGAAGAAAAGCCCGAGCCAGAATACCAAGTAAAATATGTTTTATACGCGCTGGACAACATGCCAATTATTTAGGATAAGCTGCTTTCTGTCCTAAGATTTCAAGAACCAACCGAGGTCAGCAGTGGCGAAGCTAAAATTTTTTTCAAGGGTATTCAAATTTGAAAGAAATGAAAAAAAAATATAAGGTGTTCAATATGTGTTATATACCTTTAAAACATAATATTTTATCTATATATACAGTACAATTTTTCGACGAAAGGTAGTCAGTTGACCAACTTTGTGACCATGTGGCTTTGACACTGGAGGTAGCTGACTAGGGAAGGGCGGGGCAGGGCAGAGCGGGTCAAATCTAAAAATTTTAAGATATTAAATGGGACAGGACAGGGGGCAGGGCGAGAGCAGATTTGTATTTTATGTTATAAGATTAATTGAACAGAGTACTATTCGTTTATTCTACAGCTAAGCTTCCATAGCTCCAATCAATGAGACCCAGAAGAAATTAAATAAAAGCAACTAAAAATGGCAAATACGTGGTTCTCATACTAAAGAATAATAGATAAATAACTAATCATTTGGTCTTGAATTTTAAGGCCAGATTAAAAATTTGAACAATCTTTTGATGTTACAATTTTATGATAATAAAATAGCAGAAATGCATAGACTCTCAACTAAGTAAAATCATATTTGATATAGCACCTTAAAGAGACTAAAAATATATTATTTCACATCTTAAAATATTAAAATTGTCTCAGCTCAAAAAATCAAACTGTAACATAGGCCATAAAAGAAGGAAAAAAAAATATGAATTCCTGGTATAAGATTTTAAACCATTTTCATTTATGTCATGAAATTGGAATGGTGCACTATTTTGAAGAAAAGAAGCCCAAAGAAGTCTAAGAAAATGTAGAACAATCAAAAGTGAAGAAAATAAATAAAGGAGGAAAATTAAATGGGGCGGGGCGGGTTAAAATTTTGGCTGTTTGACATTTACCCTGCCCCGCCCTACCTTATTTACATCCCTAAACTGAGGTCTTTTTCATGAGAATTACATTGTGTGATTGGCAGAGGCGGAGTCAGAATTGACACTTTATGAGTTCTAAATTCTAGGATAGTAACATAAGGTGTTAGTAATTGAGTTATGAATTTCATTTTTGTACATATTTTAAGAGAATTTCTTAATACATATAGAGTTTTGGACAAAGGCGGAACCCATACTCCGGCTTCTAGCTCCGCCCCGGTAGTGAAATTCATTCACTATGGTGCAAAGGCGCGTGCGTAACTAAATACCTCCTTAGTCACTGAACTGATATGATTGTGGCTATTTAATATTCATATGATTCTGTCTGCAATTTCTTCTGGGGTCAGGCAAGCTTGAGCAGCAGCACTCTTGTAGTATTTGTTTTTCTTCCGTCTGGTTACTGGCGAGAGGTGTGCGAGGAGACACCTCTCTGATCCAAGGCTTATCTTAGGCCTAGACTGAATCTAAGAGGATAAGTGGCCATGTTCAAAAAGGATTGTTGCTGCAGTGGAAAGATCAAGATTGGTAGCAATTTGGAAATAGATTGTTTGTATTGTGACAAATAGCTAAATTGCTCTGATCTTTGTATACTAGCCACTAGTCCAAAGCAGAAGAAATGTAATAGAGACATATGGAGGTTCATCTTTGTTTCCCAGCATCTTGATTAAACCATTCTAGTACAAGGTTTTAGATATCATAAGGCGGAGGTGGATCCAGGATTTGAACTTTTTGGGTTTAAATTCGAAATTCTACCATATCTCTACAAGTCTTTGAACATAAGAATGTCTAAGGCTGCTAATTTAAATCCTTAGAATTTGGAACCTTAATCCTCTTTTGTCATTTTTATTTTTATAACAATAGTTTCTAGCATAGGTATGTGCACCCTATTTTCCTAGTATTTATAACAATAATGTCCCAATTAGGCACACCTCAAATATTTTGCTAGATATTTGTTATCTCCTACTTTCAATGTATAGGATAATTATACCGACATAGACTTAGGTAGGTGAGAAGAAATCAATTAATAACATTTTTGGCTTCTTTTATAACTTGAACTTTGATATCTCATGGTTTAGAAATCCCTCCTCCTTGAAATGTCTAATGTTCTTTGATTTTATCTATTAAATTTACGAGAGAAAATGATAAGTGCCTGCTTGTATATTTTACATAACAAAATGTATATTACATGAGGGTAAGGAGGATAATGTGTATATTCGACAACCAATTCAGGTTCATGCCCGGTCGTTCTACTACGGAAGTTATCCACCTTATTAGGAGGTTGGTCGAGCAGTACATGGATAAGAAGAAGGATTTGCACATGGTGTTTTGGAGAAAGCGTATGACAAGGTTCCTAGAGAGGTTCTCTGGAGATGCTTAGAGGCAAAAGGTGTGTCGGTTGCCTACATCAGGCGATTAAGGACATGTATGATGGAGCTAAGACTCGGGTTAGGACTGTAGGAGGCGACTCGGAGCATTTTCGATTGTTGTGTGGTTACACCAAGGATCTGCACTCAGTCCATTTTTATTTGCCCTGGTGATGGATGCACTTACACACCATATTCAAGGGGAGGTGCCATGGTGTATGTTATTCGCGGATGACATAGTTCTGATTGATGAGACACGAGGTGGTGTTAACGAGAGGTTGGAGGTTTGGAGACATGCCCTTAAGTCTAAGGGATTCATTTCAAGCTGAGCAGGACCAAGACGGAATACCTGGAGTGTAAGTTCAGCGCCGAACCGAGGGAAGCGGGCATGGACGTGAAGCTTGAATCTCAGGTCATCCCCAATAGAGACAGTTTCAAGTACCTTGGGTCGGTTATCCAGGGGGATGGGGAGATCGACGAGGATGTCACACACCGTATTGGGGTGGAGTGAATGAAGTGGAGGTTAGCATCTGGAGTCTTGTGTGACAAGAAAGTGCTACTGTTACTCAAAGATAAATTTTATAGAATGGTGGTTAGACCAGCCATGGTATATGGGAATGAGTGTTGGCCAGTTAAGATCTCACATATCCAAAAAATAAAAGTATCAAAAATAAGGATGTTGAGGTGGATGTGCGGGCACACGAGAATAGATAAGATTATGAATGATGTTATACGGGTGAAGGTGGGCGTGGCTCCCATTGATGACAAGATGCGGGAAGCGAGACTCAAATGGTTTATAGAGAAAAATCCCAGATGCACCGGTGAGGAGGTGTGAGTGGCTAGCTCTGGAAGGCATGAGAAGAGGTAGGGGCGGCCTAAGAAGTATTGGGGAGGGGTGATCAGGCAGGACATGACGCGACTTCAGATTTCCGAGGACATGACCCTTGATGGAAGCTGTGGAAGTCAAGTATTAGAATTGTAGGGTAGAGTCGTAACTATGTGAGGCTAGTCTGATAGATTTTTTCTCTTAGACTGCTAATGGTTAATGCTGTGTTCTCACTACTCTTTCGTTTTATAATGTCAGGCCTATTTACTGGTTATTACTATTGTTTTCATCTATTTTCTGACTTTTATGTTGCTGTTATTATTTCTATGATTTCTGTTGATGGTACTGATATATTATCTCTTCTCGTTTTCTTGAGCGAGAGTCTTTCGGAAACAACTTCAATACCCCATCGGGGGTAGGGGTAAGGTGTGCATACACACTATCATCCCCACACCCCACTAGTGAATTTCACTAGGTCGTTGTTTAATGTATATTACATGACCGTCGTTAATTAATAAATAATCATTGTTACCTCAAATAACATTTAATCATGGTAAATTAACGTGGTTCTGATAATTTCTTTTCCAACATAAAGTCTAATAAATATTTAATAGTACTATATATCTTAAAAATAAGTGAAGTACTTGATATAATTATCTGAGTATGATCAAAATAACAAGGTTTCTCAATTTAAATGTTAATAGGGATAATCATCCAATATCAAGAAAAATAACAACAATTAGGGATCGTTTGATAGAATGTATTAGGAAAAATAATGCATTTATTATCTTTGGTATTATTAATTTCTTGTTTGTTAGAATTTTTCAATCTATAAGT